GTGAGACCGTGAGGTCGAAGGTGGGCTGTATGGCACTGTAAAGGGGTTGGGACTCACCACCGCAGCGCCTCCCACTGCCAAATCTGGGAATTAGCTCTATCCTCTGTGGGGCACCCTCTGCCGGTGGTGTCCCATTTGTCATCTGCTTCCCCTTTGGTATCCGGACCCGCATTGCTCCCTGCTCAAGATGTCTGCTTCTAGTCACCACCCTCCGACAGTGCCCCTTAATCCATCCTCACCCCCCTTCCGGGGTGTGTGTGTGTGGTTAACAGCAGTCTTTCCAGTTCGCTCCTGCCGCAGTGGCCAACCACAACCCCCAAATGTCTAGGGCTGGCTGCAGTCTATCACAGCCACTCTTCCACAGCCAGGTGCTGTACAAGGGCAAAGTGGCGGCGTGGGGGGGGACGACCCAGGCCCACCCACTACTCTAGGTCTTAACCCAGGGACCCTCTAGTGGCAGCCTCTCCGCCCTCCTTCTCTCCCCTTGTCTATCCGTCCTCCCTGGGTCACTTCCCCTCTGACCCCTTGCACCATCTAGGCCCTTCTGGTCAGGGCCCGCAATCTGACAGGTATCAGGCTGGAGCTCTCCTCTGCTCCTTAGCTCAGGAGACAGCCCTTCCCCTCTGAAGGTCTGGGATAGACTGACTGCTTTGGTCCTGGGCAGCCTTTATACAGGGCCTAGCCTGGCCCTGATTGGCTGACTCTTTCCCTGCTCTGATTGGCTCTCCCCAGGCCTTCTCTGATTGGCTGCAGGTCTGCACAGCCTCTCAGGCCTGGTTCAGCCCTTTTTCTCAGGGGGTGGGGCACCGCCCCACCACAGGCACCATAATAAAAACTGAAAAATGTTTCATGACAATTTTGTTAGATTTAACTCATGTTTTTAAATCATCACACAAATTAAAGTTGGCTATACAAGCCTACTATATCTACATCTTTCTGGTTGTTATTTTGCACAACACTGTTAATGAACTTCTCGAATGCAGTGCATTCATTTTTGGTAGCTTCTCATGTGTCTGTTACTTCCAGTCCTTCATGATATGCTCATGATCAGGCAGAAGGCGACTTCTTTCAGAACACAAAATTCTATTCAATGAGGAAAAAGAATGCTTAACTGTAGCTCTTGTGACTGGGAGTAGCAAGAGATGAATTCCTACTTCTTTCAGCCCAGGAAACTTAGCACAAAAATTGGGTCGAACCATTAGTGATGATAAAGAAGAAGTTAAAGTTAAATCTTCATTAGTTCATTGTATGATATTCCACTGTTTTCAAAATTTTCTATTCTGTCCTGATCACATAGCAGCCCTATTGCTGGTAGTGCCTCACTCCACTCAACTGTCGGTGTTTTATAAGACAGGCGTCTGTAAAAGTTACGTGGAGGTTGAGTAGAATCCAGAAATTGTTACTGTAGATTTGTAAGAATCAAGTCTGTGTACTTTTTCAGCTGGATTAACAAACACTTCTTGTCCTCTTCACTTAAGAAGTCAGTATAAGTGCCTTCATTAGTCAGCTTCTGGACTGAAGTCTTTGTTTCTTCCAGTACATTTTCAATGGATATCTCTGATTGATCCAAGGGTAGCTTTTGTTGCTGGACAAAGATCTACTACTGTTGTAGCAGATGCCTGGATGACATTTTGAATGACAAGTGGTTTCAACAGTAGACTTACAAGAGAGAGAATGGCGATAGTCTTCTCTGGACTTAGTAACAAAAGTAGTCCACCAGCCTCACTACTTAGATCTGTCCCATCTTGTTGGATACTTTCCAAAGCCAGTAATAATAGTTACAGTAATTTTAAGACAACAGCCAAGAATCACTCATGAGAAAGCCAGCAGGTTTTCCCAGGTTGGACTCATTTGAACTTCAGACCCAGTGTATCTTCTGTTTCCAAGATGTTCAGTCCTTTTGGACTCTTGCTGAAAAAAGAGTATAACAAAGCCATTAAATTTATGGCTTTTTAATGTCTTTTGAAGATTCTTCAGCTTGTACTAGAGTTAGCTGGAGTAGATGGCCTCTGCAGTGTGTATAGGAGAGATAAGAGTTACACTTTTCTCTGAGAAAAGCTTGTACTCCACTATGTCTTCCAGAGACGTTTGCAGCTCCATCAAATGCACAAGCAGCCATCTGTTTGGGGTTCAATTTACAAGCATTTAACCCTTCTAAGATGTCACAGATGCAGCTGATGTGTCTTCTATAACCTGAACATCTAGAATGCACCTAGTGGCCTATCATGGGCATCAGGATAACATACACACTGACTTAATACTTGATGCCTAGTTGCACTGGTGCATTCATCAGCCATGCATGCACATATTTTGAATGCGGTGAGAGAGTTCTTCACTTTTTCAGCTGCTGAGTCTTTCACTGTTGCACTGTATGCTTCTAACCAGTCAGCTGAGTTTTTTCCCCAGAAAGACAGCGAGCATTTGCTGGTCTTGTTCGAAACTAGTGTCCAACTTCAGGATTAACAAGTGACCATGCACTTAACACTGGCCTCCAGTTTGCAGGGTGCGGTATCTCGTGCTTAAAGAGAAAGTAGGATGCAACAGCCATGTTGGTTCACATAAACTGAGTTGTGTTTCCAGCATTCTTAACAGCCTCCATTAAATTCTTCTGAAATTGGCTTTGACAGTGACGGACTTATCAGGCTTCCTGCATGTTGGTGCAGTCCAGAGGCCTGGTGTTTTGCAGCCTTTTCACATAGGTTGTCAGTATTGGCTTAGCTGATCAGTCTGGCAAACCAAGCCCCTCCACTTTTATTATATAAATACACAATATGCCCACATCTTGAATACTCCGTGTAGTTCTGGTCACCCCATCTCAAAAAAGATATATTGGAATTGGAAAAGGTTCAGAGAAGGGCAACAAAAACGAACAGGGGTATGGAACAGATTCCATATGAGGAGAGATTAAAAAGACTGGAACTGTTCAGCTTGGAAAAGAGACGACTAAGAGGGGATATGATAGAGGCATATAAAATCTTGACTGGTGTGGAGAAAGTGAATGAGGAAGTGTTATTTACCCCTTCACGTAACACAAGAACCAGGGGTCACCCAATGAAATTAATAGGCAGCAAGTTTAAAACAAACAAAAGGAAGTATTTCTTCACACAACACACAGTCACCCATGGAACTCCTTGCCAGAGGATGTTGTGAAGGCCAGAATTATAACAGGGTTAAAAAAAGAACTAGATAAGTTCATGGAGGATAGGTCCATCAATGGCTATTAGCCAGGATGGGCTGGCTTGCAATACCATGCTCCTAGTGTCCCTAGCCTCTGTTTGCCAGAAGCTGGGAGTGGATGACAGGGGATGGATCATTTGATGATTCCCTGTTCTGTTCATTCCCTCTGACACACCTGAAATAGCTACCTTTGGAAGAAAGGATACTGGGGTAGATGGACCATTGGTCTGACCCAATATGGCCGTTCTTATATAAAAATTAATTATTATAATAAAAAAGTTTAGTACAGAAACTCCCCAAGATAATGACCTCTTGAGATAGCGATGATGTGAGATAACGACCTGGGCAAATAATGCATTTTAAAAATCTTGGCCTACTAGGAAACGTATATTTTATAAGTTTCCCAGTCACAAATCTAGCATTCTGGAGTGAAACCACTAACACATAGTCCAATAAACAAATGCTCTGGCTGCTGTTGTTTGTCGTGCCACCGTTCACTCTATCGCTCCGTCCCCAATGGCCCTACACTGTCACCTTCTGCTGCCACCTGCCACTGTGACCTCTGCAAGTCGGTCTCTGGAGGTTCCTCCAGCTCTCGGTGATTTCAGCTCTCAGTGGGGGAACCTTGCTGCTGTGCAGGCTGGGCCGTCGCTTCCACAGAAACGCTGTCCCGTAGCCGGTCTGAGCACTTAGACCTGATTCTCAGCGATTTCAGCTCTAGTGGTCACTTAACAAACCAAAAGACTCTCTGTGGAGCCTAATCAGCTCTGTCTCTAAACAGGAGAGGGGGGCAGGTCAGATAGTGCCTGTGACTCTTAGGCAGGGCCCATCCCACCAACCAAAACCCCTGTCCCCACCCTCTGTCTCTCCACTGGGATCTGGCATCCAACCCCCCTGCTTGGGGAGTGCCATTCCGCTGAGGGTGACTGGGGCTTAGTTTGTAAGGAAAGAAGTTCCAGGCTCACGCAAGTTTGTTACTTTCACAACTGATGTGACAAGCCCAGAGGTCCCCGGGCTCTGAATGGCCGAGCCTGGAGGTACCGGGGCACAGCCCTGGCACAAATTAAGCACGGAGGGAGACCCCCTCATTCAGTCAGGCTAAGCCCAGTTCTGCTGCCCTTTACTCCTACAATGAGGACAACATTTCATGACCCCCACATTTAATACTTCAGTGATTTGTAACCTAACACCAGCCAAAATCGATCCCTTGGGCAACGCAGCTCTGTCTGCTGGATACCTCGGCAGAGTAGGTGAGTTCATGTCAATACAGTCTGGTCCTGAAGCCTTTCCCCCCACCCCGGCTCATCACGAGCTGCCAGAGCAGAGCTCAGTCAGACCTGGCCTACAAATCATAATTTGAAAGGATAAGGTAGGCCAACATCGCCGACACCAATGCGCCGACATTGTCATAAATAACAGCAGCTCTCTGAGGAAGCTAGTCTCTGTTCAGACTTTTCAAACCCATTCTCCTTTCTCAGGTACAAGTATTTTATCAGACACTGTATATTCTTTTAAAGTGTGTATTCATGTTTCAATTTCAATTTAATTTCCAATCGACGACTAAATTGGCAACACTGCATGTAACTGCAGGGGTGCTGGGGAAATTCGGGGGCGTGGGGGGAGGTGTACATCCCCCCAGAGGAGGTCTGGGGAAACCCCTGCTCTCCCACGTGAGCTAAAGGAGACCTTCAGTGGCTGTCTGCAGTCGTAGGAGCTTTATCCCCTCTGTAGACTGTGCCCAGCCAGCAGAGGTTGACATTCACCCCTCTCCCGCCCAGCTCCTGCCTTGCAGCAGGTCCCTGATGCGCTGCTCTCTCCTGCAGGACAACCATCAACAAGGGAGAGTTAAGAGGGAAGGCAGGAAACCGCAGCAAGCCAGACCCACAAGGAAACCAACTTGGAGACCTGGCTCTGGGTCCATCATAGGCTGGGTACAGTAAGAGGCGAAGAGGGTGGAAGCCATGAACTCCAGATTAACTAATGGGCAACAAAAGCCTGTCCTTTAATCAATGGGGCACAAGGGGGGCCGATGTGCTGGCTGCTCTTGGGAGGCCGCGTCAGCCAGGGCGCAGCCAGAGCGCATGCTCCGGGAGAGGGGAGGGGACTGAAGGAGGGGAAATGCTGGCCCAGAAAGAACGGGCCGGGGAGAACTCCATGCTCCACAGCCATGGAGCGAACCCGCCTCCTCCTGATCCTTCATGGCGGAATGGAAGCTGCAGGAGCTGGGCCCGGCGCTGAGACCCCTGCGTGGCTGTGACAGCAGGGGGAGAAGCCTCCCCCCAGGGGTGTTTCTCCGCTGGATCGCGGCTCAGGCTAGCCCTCCGCATCCAAGCCCACCCCCAGCCCCCGGGCCTGAGCTGCCACCCTCGCTGCAACGGCCACGCTGCTATTTTTAGTGCATTTTCATGAGCGGAGCTAGCGCGAGTCTGTCTCCCCAGCTGTAGCATGGACAGACCCTTAGATCCCCAGCGAATCCACCAGGGCCCTTGTGGGCCGGCCCCAGTGCAGCCCAGGGACGATGGCTCACCGTGCTGCAGGGGCAGCAGGGCGCTAACTGCTTGCATGCATCCCCCCGGCCTCACCCCATAAGCCCCAGCCTCCCAGTGACTCGCCCCTAACCCTCTCCTCTCCTCCTGCAGAGCCCTCCTGAGGAAGTCAAAGACAAGCTCGCCGCCCCCAAGCTCCCCTGTCCCAGCTGCCATGGCTCTGTAGCCCCCGGCCAGGTGAGAGGTAGCCTCAGGGGGGAACAGCACAAGGCAACCCAGGGGCTCCAGAGAGGGCAGGAGTCTGAGCCGGGGACGCCTTCCAGCTCTGTTCCTCTTCCTGTCAAACACAGTGAAACCTGCCACAGTTGGGTCAGGGAATGATGGGACAGGAGGGGGAGGGCATAGTGAAGGGGGAGACGGTACCTGCTGATGCCTCTCTCCATAGAGGCTCTGAAAGTCCCGTCACAGCCCCCACCTCCGGCTGGGACTCTCGGGGAGATGCCCTGGTGGGAGGGCTCTGGGGAAATATGCGGCAGAGCCGAGATTGCTCTGCTCTCCCTGGCCACCTATCACAGAATCACCTGCTGCTGAGAGACAGCGACCGAATCCCTGGATGGCAAGCAGGGCTTGGCTCAGTCCTGCCCTGCTCAGTCAGGGCTGAAGGGAATGCTTCCCTGCCCAATAGCTGCTGGTGCTGTCTGGGCTCTAAGCACGTTACAGACAGTAATGAATGAATCATAGAATCATGGAATCATAGAATATCAGGGTTGGAAGGGACCCCAGAAGGTCATCTAGTCCAACCCCCTGCTCGAAGCAGGACCAATTCCCAGTTAAATCATCCCAGCCAGGGCTTTGTCAAGCCTGACCTTAAAAACCTCTAAGGAAGGAGATTCTACCACCTCCCTAGGTAACGCATTCCAGTGCTTCACCACCCTCCTAGTGAAAAAGTTTTTCCTAATATCCAACCTAAACCTCCCCCACTGCAACTTGAGACCATTACTCCTCGTTCTGTCATCTGCTACCATTGAGAACAGTCTAGAGCCATCCTCTTTGGAACCCCCTTTCAGGTAGTTGAAAGCAGCTATCAAATCCCCCCTCATTCTTCTCTTCTGCAGGCTAAACAATCCCAGCTCCCTCAGCCTCTCCTCATAAGTCATATGTTCCAGACCCCTAATCATTTTTGTTGCCCTTCGCTGGACTCTCTCCAATTTATCCACATCCTTCTTGAAGTGTGGGGCCCAAAACTGGACACAGTACTCCAGATGAGGCCTCACCAATGTCGAATAGAGGGGAACGATCACGTCCCTCGATCTGCTCGCTATGCCCCTACTTATACATCCCAAAATGCCATTGGCCTTCTTGGCAACAAGGGCACACTGCTGACTCATATCCAGCTTCTCGTCCACTGTCACCCCTAGGTCCTTTTCCGCAGAACTGCTGCCTAGCCATTCGGTCCCTAGTCTGTAGCTGTGAATTGGGTTCTTCCGTCCTAAGTGCAGGACCCTGCACTTATCCTTATTGAACCTCATCAGATTTCTTTTGGCCCAATCCTCCAATTTGTCTAGGTCCTTCTGTATCCTATCCCTCCCCTCCAGCGTATCTACCACTCCTCCCAGTTTAGTATCATCCGCAAATTTGCTGAGAGTGCAATCCACACCATCCTCCAGATCATTTATGAAGATATTGAACAAAACCGGCCCCAGGACCGACCCTTGGGGCACTCCACTTGATACCGGCTGCCAACTAGACATGGAGCCATTGATCACTACCCGTTGAGCCCGACAATCTAGCCAGCTTTCTACCCACCTTATAGTGCATCCTTATAGTGTATCCTCCCAGCCCCCCTGCAGGAGGTGGGTCAGTATTATCACCGTTAGACGGCTGGGGAAACTGAGGCATGGAGAGGTTAACGATCACATGGTGAGTCCATGATGGAGCCAAGATTAGAAGTCAGGAGTGCCTGGTTCCTCAGCCATCGGTTGCTTGTCAGAGCACCCCGCCCCCCACTCTGCTCATCTGCCTGAAGGGCGGTGGTTGCGTGTGCCAGGCCCTGCCTAGCTCCTCTGGGATCCCTCGCCACCCTGTCCTACGGTGGCAAGGAGCAGCGGACGGAGAGGAAGCTGTAGGTGACCCATGTCTGTCTCGTGCAGGAGGGGCGCTCTGCTGAGGGGATCCTGAGCCCCAGGCCCAGGAGAGAAGACGAAAGGCCCATGGCGGCAAAGCGTAAAGCCAAGCAGAGAGCAAGAGACGGGCTCTACTGTGCTGGCTGCTATTCCAGCCTCACGCTGCGGGACCAGCCTGCCCCTGTGAGAGAGGAGGCGGACGGAGGATCAAGCAGAGATTAGCTACCGCACCCACCTGAGGTGGAGTCCTTCCAGGCCTCACATCCCTTGTGTAGCTAGACAGCAGCCCACCCCTCCCCTCCACACCCCTGAGATCAGTTACACAGAATCTGGATCCCAACCCCCCTTCCCCCTCCAGCTGGCACAAATGCACCCTGCTTCTCCTGCTGCGGAGCTGGGATGGAACCAAGGCCCCTTTCTCTGAGTCCTGCAAACCCACAATCCCCACCCTCCCCTGCCTCGTTCCCAGGAATAGACAAGGGGAGCGCGGGCCGCACGGGAACCAGAACGGCCTGTCCCGTGGGGCCCTCCGGGCTCCCAAGGCGCTGTGCAGAGGCAGATAGATTTAAATGAAATTAAAGCTACATATAAAGGGCTGAATTCCCTGGGGTGTACGTGGGTCCAGCTCTGCTGCACTGAGTGGAACTGCGCCCGTTTATACCTGAGGGGAACGTGAGCCAAGAGTGCAAATAAACACAAATACACTCGCTCTGTGTGACCTGTTCCTGTTGGGACTCTCAAGCTACAGCCGCACGACTCTGCCCAGCGCTTCGCTGGCTCCTTTTCTCCATCTCATTTACTCCTGGTGTTGTCTGCTGAGGAGTGGGGGCCAGAGAGCCCCATGGTGCACGAGCCAATGGCGGGGGTGTGTGTGTTCACATAGTATCTTTAATTTACAGGTACCTGCTGTGGAGACTACAGCTCCCAGCATGCAATGCTCCTCCTTGAGCCGCATGGCCTCGCTGAGCACCCTCGCACTCAGCATCACCATTCGGGTGGCCCCACAGCGCCATACACAGCGGGAGATTTGGTCTCACAGAGCCGCCATGACAGCTGGCTCCAGGGCCTGGCTGTGCCATGGGGACTGCCCTCTGCTCTGATGCTGGCTCTGTGGTCAGGGCTGAGACATGCTGTTACCTGGTGCGGGTTCGGCGGGGAGGGCGGTGATTTGCAATGTCGCTGCCTATGCAGCACCTATTCTATGCCGAAAGAGAGGAATTTAATTAGCTCTTTAATTACCTGAAAATCAAAAAGGCCTCCTGCAAAAAGTGGAAATGGACAAATTGCGAAGGAGGAGTACAAAAGAATAGTGCAAGCAGGTAGGGACAAAATCAGAAAAGCAAAGGCACAAAATGAGTTACACCTAGCAGGGGAGATGAAAGGAACTCGAAGAGGTTCTATAAGTACATTTGCAGCAAGAGAAAGATAAAGGAAAGTTTAGGCCCACTATTTAGTGGGGAGGGAGAGCCAGGGCCGGATTAAGACCTTTAGAGGCCCTAAGCACTGAAGAGATTATAAAAACAACACTATACTGTAAAATAAAATTTTATTTTTTGAAATGACACAAAACTGACATGCATACTGAAATTAAAATAGCTTCTTTCTAGATTTTCTGATTGCAAAATTCTGGATAAGTTCATCGAAGCTGACTCGACGAAGCAGGTCCACTTCCATACACAATCGGGAAAGTGAATCAAGTCTGTCCTTACATATTGTTGTTCTCTGCGGGTTTTTTATTATTTTCAGCTGAGAAAAAGAGCATTCTGTGGAGCACTTAGTAATCATCAGTGTTAGAAAAATCCGTCGTGCGATCTCCACATTTGGAAATACACGTCGTATTCCGCTTTTCAGTATTGTGTTATGAAGATCAGTGTGACTGAATTTCATTTTTCCTGTTTCATTAAACGTTGCGCGCATATAACAGTGGAACTGCCGGACTTCTCCACAGAGATTCATGTTCAAGTCAACAGGGTATGAGCCAATGAGCTTTTGGGAACCTTGTGAATACTGTTCATCAGATAAGTCCATATCATTTAGAAAAGAAAATCTACTTGATACTTCTTTGTACACTTCAACTCTCCTCTTCATATGAGCTTCACGTGTATCAATTATAGCGTAGTAAGTAGATACACGAAATTTGTCTCTAGGATTCAATGCTGTTTCTGCCTTGCACTGCTATCATTTGCTTGCTTTTTCCTGATTCGCTTGCAGGACTGGGCTTTTTGTAGTTAGCATCAGGCAAGATATCTTTTGATATGTCTTCAAATCTTTTGAAATCATTCCTCAAAGTGTGTAAGTGGTCTGCTAATGATTGACAGAGGCCTGCACATGTTTTCAAATCCAATTCTTGTTCTTGGAGAGCTTGACTTGTGTGGTAAAAGTGTTGTAAAATGTCATTCCACATGGTCAACATGAATACAAACTCTAGTTCTTGCATCTTGTTTGCAATGTTTGCTGCCTCTCGTCTAGTTTCTCCCTTTTGTGGTTGGTCTTCAGCTCGACTTTCTAATGCATCCACAATCTTTGAGGAGGACTCCAGAATTGCACTTGTTGCCAATGCTTGTGCCTGCCAGCGAGTATTAGAAAGAGATTTCAGCACACGATCATGGCCCACATATGTTTTAAGAACTGCCCATCGGTGTGTTGAGGCAGAGAAAAATGTATAAAGTAACTGGACTGTTGAGAAAAACCTTACAGCCACCGGACAGCAATCAACAGCACCGCGGCCAACAAGACTGAGCGAGTGTGCAGCACGTGGTGTGAAGATGGCATATTTGTTCTGTTCTAAAAGCTTCTTCTGCATTCCTTGATAACGCCCTGACATGTTGGCAGCGTTGACGTAAGATTGACCTCTGCACTTTGAGAAATCTATTTTGCAAACTTGGCATAGATAATGCAGTACTTGATTTGCCATTTCTCCACCAGTGTGGCTTTTCAAATTGAGGAATGTTATAAATCATTCAACTGGTTTTCCATCTGTGGGAAACACATATCTTAGTACAGTACTAAATTGATCAATATGTGAAAGATCAGGTGTAGAGTCGACAGATAAACTGAAGTACCCAGCAGTACTTATTTCATCCACAATAGCTGAACGAACTTTGTCACTCATTAGACCAATGAGTTCATCACATATTGTCTTGGATAAGTATGATGAGTGACCTTTGACAGCATTCCCGTATTCTGAGATATGGCCTGCTAAAAATGGGTCAAACTGAGCCACAAGCTCCAACAATCCCAAGAAATTTCCATTCTGCAAATATCAATTTAAAAAAAAAATCTCCTTTTTTTTGGTGCCCCCTGCTTTGCTCGTGCCCTAAGCACGTGCTTAGTCTGCCTATTGGGTAATCCAGCCATGGGGAGAGCTAGTAATGGATGACACCAAGAAGGCTGAACTGTTTAATGCCTATTTTGTTTCAGTCATCACTAAAAAGGTAAAGTGTGGCCAGATACTTAACACAATTAATATTAACAAGGAGGGGGAAGGAATGAAAACCAAAATAGCGAAAGAACAGATGAAAGAATATTTAGCTAAATTAGATGTATTCAAGTCAGCAGGGCCTGATGAAATTCACCCTAGGGTATTTCAGGAACTAGCTGAAGCCGTCTTGGAACCATTAGCGATTATCTTTGACAACTCATGGAGGACAGGTGAGGTCCTAGAGAACTGGGTTCAACTGGAGAAGGGCAAACATAGTCTCTCTTGTTAAAAGGGGGAACAAAGAGGACCTGGGGAATTATAAACCAGGCAGCCTAACTTCAATATCTGGAAAGATACTGGAACAAATGGTTAACCAATCAGCTTGTGAGCATCTGGAGGATAACAGGGTTACACAGAATAGCCAGCATGGATCTGTCAAGAACAAATCATGCCAGACCAACCGAATTTCCTTCTGTGACAGTGTTACTGGCCACGCGGCTGCGGGGACGCAGTAGATATGGTAGGTCATGGTTTCAGAAAGAGGCTCTTACCTTCTGCTGGCAGGGCCTGTGTGGTGGTGAGGACTCTGTTAAAGGCCCTGTATCCTGCTGGTTCCTCTCCAAAGAGCTGAGCTGAGGATGACAAAGAGTGGGCAGTGCAGAGCTGAGGCGGTGGCTTTGAGGTGACAGCACCGAGTGGCACGAACACAAGCCCTGGTGGGGAGGTAGCTTGGGCTGAAGCTGCACAGAGCAGCAGCCTACCCAAAGGACTCCTGTCCGGGCCCCCCCACCCAGTCATTAAAGCTGAAACTACCCCAGCTGGGTCGGGTGGTAAAGCCCCTGGAGCTGCCCAGGCAACAGGGACCTGCCAGAGCCCTGGGGCTTCCCCACTGCAGGACGACAAGCTGTGAGTGGGGGAGCTGTGGGAGGGGAAGGGGCCAGGATGCACCAGCCGCTCACAAATCCCAGAGGAGGCCGGAAGCTGGAACTATTGTTAAGACGCCCCGGGGGGTGAAAGTCTGACCTAATATTGTGAATTCATTAATTGCTGGTTTCCCCAAATTTATTCTGTTCTCCCCCACCCCATTCTGCTCTCCAATCATATTCTCTTTGTTTAAACCCCTTGACTTGGTACCTGCAAATGGGGAAATTTTGGCCAGCCAGGGCACTCAGGGTGGGGTCTATAGTTTCCCAGATTGCCAGGTGGGGTCTCACACTGGTGCTATTTCAGTTTTCAGAAGGAGCCCCTAGAAAATTGAACCTGGCCCCCAGACTTAAGATTCGCCGTAGAACTGCCCTCTTTACCAATGGCTGCCGTCTTCCCCTGTTCTCAGCAGGGCAGAGGTACAGTTCACTCTGGAGCTCACTCCCCTTCCTGCACTGCCCCATGCGGGCAGCCACGCTCCCCAAGTGCCTTGAGGCTGCCTGACCGCTGGCCCTCAATATTCCCTTTCCAAAGCAACTCGTTGAGTGAGATCTACTCCAAAGAGCATGGAGGTGGGAAACGAGGGGACGGGTGGGAGGTGGAAAGAGTATAGGGGATTGTCGGGGGTGCAGAAGGGAGGGGGATCTCCGGGGATGGATGCAGAGGAAAGTGAAGCACAGAAGGGAGACGGGATTTGGGGAGCGTGCACAGAGGAATGCAGAGAGGTAGAAGAGGCAGGTGGGAATGTGGAGGAAGGGGGCAGAGGGTAACTGGGGTGTACACTCCGGTTGCCTTGCATTGCTCCTGTGTTGCAAAGCAGGTAACCGGGCAGCCTGCGTGCACTGTTCTGCACTGCTCCGGCATGGCCCACCAGTGACTGTGGCCATAAAAGTTAAAAATTGAAATAATATTTCTTAAAAATGATCTCAGTAACAGAATAACATGGATGTTTCAAACTCCCCTTATCCTTAAAACTCAGTGAAATCCTGGGCGGAGGCTGTGTCTGAAGACAGTTTGTTGGAATTAATAGTTATTTTTGGCTGTTATTCTTCAGGACAGAAAGTTCTGCCTTCAGCAGGTAAGGATGCAAAATGTTCTACTTGAGGATTCCCCGTGGAACTGCCCTCTTTATCAATGGCTGCCGTCTTCACGCTGCAGCTCACTCCCCTTCCTGCACTTCCCCCTCAGGGTGGCCACTCGCCACAAGTGTCACAGAACGACGACGAGCCCTTGAGGCTGCTGTTGACAGGTTATTAAGGCAAAAAGAGCTCTGTATGCGTGTGCTATCTACCTGCCTGCCGCTCCAATCAAAGGGTGATATGGCTGGTACAGCGCCTGGAGGCTGCTTCTCTCCGACCCTATGGACAAATACACTGAAACATTTCTCTGTTCCACGACATGATGTTGCTTCAGGGCTGGTCTGCACTACAAAGGTAGGTCGAGTTAAGTTGCCTTCCATCGACCTATATGTGCATGTGTCTATACTCAGTCTGGTCTCTGGGCAACACAAGTGCCTTATTATAGTGACACAGTAAAATCGCCTCCCTGAATGGCGTTGTGCTGCTCTGCAAAAAGAATTTGAAGAGCAGCCAGCCAAAGGCTCAAAAACTAACAGCGAAGTTTTGTTTTCAGTACATCAGAAGCAGGAAGCCTGGCAAACAATCTGTGGGGCCACTGGACAATCAAGGTGTGAAAGAAGCGCTCATGGAAGACAAGGTCTTTGAGGAGAAGCTGAATGAATTCTTTGCATTGGTCTTCACTGCAGAGGATGTGAGGAAAGTTCCTACACTTAAGCCATTCTTTTCAGGTGACAAATCTGAGGAACTGTCCCAGATTGAGGTATCGATAGTGGAGGTTTTAGAACAAATTGATAAATTAAACCATAATAAGTCACCAGGACCAGATGGGATTCACCCGAGAGTTCTGCAGGAACTCAAATGTGAAATTGCAGAACTACTAACTGGGGTATGTAACCGATCACTTAAATCAGGTTCTGTAGCAGATGACTGGAGGGTAGCTAATGTGACACTGTGACATACTGTATCCCATGTTACACCCTGTACCCACGTATTCATCACTGTTACAGGAGTACGGTGTGGTTTGTAAAAGGCATGCCTTGCATCGTCTGCGAGTGAACACCCTCAGGTGCCTGTCACGCTACAAAGGCGCATTCAAGCGTCCTGCTGCACCTGCTGAGCCAGGAGCTGAATCTTCCCTTGGCACTGTTGAGGTGGCCGGTGTACGGCTTCATGAGCCAGGGGCGTAAGGGGAAGGCTGGATCACTACTGGCATTTCAACATCGCCAGTGGTAACCCGCCATTCGAGAAAGAAAGTCCCTGCTTGCAGCTTTCTGAACAGTCCTGTGTTCTTAGAGATGTGAGTGTCATTCACTTTCCCTGACCAGCCCGCACTGATGTCAGTGAAGTGTCCCTGGTGATCCACCAGTGCTTGCATAACCCTGGAGAAGCAGCCCTCGCTGTTGATGTGCACTTTGGCAAGGTGGACTGAGGCCAAAATGGGGATATACGTGCCATCTGCTGCCCCACCACAGTTCAGGAACTCCATTGCTGCAACTCCTGCTCATTGCCGAGAGTCACTGTCCTGCCTAGCAGGAGATGGTTAATGGCCCTGCACACTGGCATGACAACAGCCCCCACTGTGGATTTTCCAACTCCAAACTGATGTCCCACTGAGCAGTAGCAATTTGGCATTGCAAGCTTCCAGTGTGATCACTGCTCACTTCTCCATTGTCAGTGCAGCTTTCACTCTGGTGTCCCTGCCTGGAGGGCTGGGGGGAGCTCAGTGCACGGATCCGGGAGTGTGGCCTTCACCTTGTGCATCCAAAAGTCCTGCAGCCCCTGCTAGTCTTCCCAATCCTGCATTACGACGTGACCCCACCAGTCAGTGCTTGTTTCATGGGCCCAGAAGCAGCACTCGAATGTCTGCAGCTGCTCTGTGAATGCCACTAACAACCTTGAATTGGTTCTCGCCATGTCCCTCGGCAAACCATCCTCCAGGAAATCACTATGTCCCCAGTTGTTGCTCTTCTTCCTGCAAGTCTGAAAATACTGGTGGATGGTGCACCCTGAGCTTGCAGTGCGCATGACAGTAGTGAGGCGCTTGGCACGCTCCACGCTTCCATCCGAGACGGCAGGTACTGCAAAGTGCCACACAGATTTGTGGGATTTCTTTTTTAAAAAGCACAAAAATTATGGGATGGAGAAAGTTGCATGCTGGGAAGATGATGCCTAGATCCCAGAGATCTCCGGGCGAGTCATTTCTACTCACAATACATTGCAAACATTTCCCCAAAATCGTTGTGCCGGATGGCACCATGGGGCACATTGGGATACCGTGGTGCATCTCACTTTAGTGACAAAAGCACCCCTGCTGAATGTGCACAGCGCTGACGCAAGCAGCCAAGTATGTACGTATAACTCCGACAGACCCCGGTCATCGTTGGGCGGGATCGAACCGGTGACCTTGGTGTATGAGCCTCTACAGCATGAGCTAAAAGCCAGCTGGCTGCTAGCTCAGGCTGGAGAGCAGACTCATTTTCTCTCTCTCTCTAAGTGGTCTCGGTGCCACGAGCTGGGACAGAACCCAGGAGGTGTGTGGGTTACATACGCGCCCAAGCAATATACAAACTTGGCTGGCTGCACACTGACGTAACTTGCCTCAACCAGAGTTTGGAGTGGAGGCATGGCCTGAGTGTGCAGAGACATCGCGTGCTCAGATACGGACAAAGGGACCTTGCTATAGTGGGGCAGCCTCCCCCGCAGGGCCCTGTGTCTAAGAGGATCATACAGTATAGAAATGGTCACATGATTCCCCTCTTTGATACGATGCCATAAACCTTTGGTTTG